GATGAAAATTCAATTTATTATTTTCTCAGGCAGACTTCCTAAAATATTTATTGTTTTGTTCCATAAGATGAAAACGGACAAAAACTATTATCATAAGATCAAATAGTACTATTACGATCTGAAAAGTAGAAGTTGTACAAATGTAATTTTTTACAAGACAATATTCCGCCACGTTAAATAAAACATGATCTTTTAAAAAGAAGCGGCCACTTAAAAAAATCTTCATAAACGAGAATTATTACTCGGTTACATAAAATTCGAGATAAGAAAAATAAACTCGGAGATAAAAAGGAAAAAAAAAAAAAATTGGCTTCCATTAAATATAAATGGAAAAAATATTGTCTGCATTATTATAGCACTCTGGAATATAAATATAAAAATAATTATGGCGGAATATTATATAAATAATGAGATGACGCCCATTTCGAATGTTTTAGAGTTGAGGAGGGTGAAGAAGAAGAAAAAAAAATTATAAAACCGAGATACAAGAAGGAGATTATGTCATTAATCTTCCGGGACAAAAATAAAACTCCTTAAGCCTTTTTCAGCCGTTCAAAACGAAAAAGAGGTGAAATATAAACGTCTAAAGGAGAGGGGAATATATTAAAACAAAATTGTTAAACAAAGAAAAGAAAGACAGTAGCGCACAATTAAACAAATCGTTAACATATCTCATACTCTTTATCAATGCGAAATCGCATAAAAATAAAAATATTATTAAAAAATTTCAAAACGAAGACTCTTTGTATTTTTAAAGAAATAGGGTGAACCAGTTATGGATAGCTTGGATAATAATCTTCCTTGTTGATTTAAAGGTTTCAGATTTTTTCTAGATTGAAGAAAAATGTACTCTATAGACAACTGTATAAACAAAGTTCCCAAATGAAAGCTTTAAAATGCCTATTATTGTTGTTTCTATACTGAACATTTATGTAATCTTATCTTTAAAACAAAAAATAAGAAAAGAAAAAACCTGTGCCACTAACAATCTATGAAGGGGGGGGGGCTTAGTACGAGTATAATAGTACGAGTGAGAAAGTCCTGTAACGTTAGTGCACGCAGGTATCAATATCACTCGTCCCGGTGCCGGGAGACTCTTATAAATCCCCGCCCTAACCTCCTGGCACGGGAAACCTCGTACAGCCTTAAAAGCGAGAAAGGGCAGGGCCAAAAAAAAAAAAAAAAAAAAAGAAAGAAAAAAAATAAAAGAAATTGAGTTTGCCCTAGGTTAACCCACGGCTGATTGCTAGCAATTTTTAATAACTAACTAAAAATTGCTGGCAATCAGCAGGATTCGAATCTTGGACCTTGAGCTATGGAAGTCAGTGCCTACCCACTGAGCTACCGCGCTACCAGATATCGTTATTTTTAGAATTAAATTTAGGATTTCTCTCAGTTATGACCATTACTGGTACCGACCCCCTGTCCATTACTAGAAAAATTAATGTTCTAGTTGCCCATTACTAGTGCAAAAACGTGTTTTTTTTTTTAAATAGAGATTATATCTGCATAACTGAATGTTTTTTTTTTTTTCAATTTTAAAGTGCTAAATAGAATTAAGAGATCCTAGAGATTTAATTTGCATTTCCGAGTTCATATATTGTATTTTAATTAAAAGTTCATAGCAAAACGCACTACTAAATTTTATAACTGACAAAGAATTCAGTGAGAAAGAATATAATTATGAACAGGAGTAAGTTCCTCAAATCCTAAATTTCCTTCATAGGCAGTGAGATAACTTATGTAAACGATGGAACTGAACGTGTCCCTTTATTAATCGATTGCACCACCAATGGTTTACCTAGATATCACCTCATTATAACCTGTATTGTTATTTCTACCTCAAGTGTAAAATTCTGCTGGAATCCATCAAGTGGTTCCAAAACTCAACATAAATATTTATATTCAATCGATTGATCGATTCCACCGATTTAAATAGCACAATGTTTAGGCAGTCCTTGTATTTACAAGCTTATTATGTTCTGTAATTGACTAAGATATAATTTTGATAAGATATTTGTAGCTTATAGAAATGAAATCTCCATCAAAAAATGAACATTTTTTAAAATCAATTAAAAACAAAAACAATTATAAAACAAAAACAGTCATATGCACATAATCACACATATATAAAAAACATTAGGTATATTAATACATATATTTACATCCTACATTTTCAGACAAAAAAAAAGAAAAGTATCTTTTAATTTTATAAAAAGGTATAATAAATGAAAACATTGTTATGAAAATAAGACAAAAACAAAATAATGATTCTTTATTGAAATATTTCAATAATAAATAAACTTATAGGAAGTTTAAATATGCACTTCAATGGAAATAATAATTGAATTTTTTATACATAGGTACTTGCAACAACAAAATAATTATTAAAAAAAGAATTCTTCTTCTCTTTTTTTTATTTTTTGTGAAAACAAAAACAATTATTAAGATCAAATATCTTAATTTTGAAGTTTATAAATCTTTGGAACGTGTGAAAAGTGTAATTTTGTGAATTTTTATGGGTTTCACCAGAAAGCTAATTTCTCTCTCTTTCTTTGTGTCTAATAATGGGCTAAGTTATGCGGCTATTACAGAGATGAAAATTCTTGAGTAAATAATGGGTTGAAACTCAATTGAACATGCACCTGTGACAATTCCAAACTTACAATTGTGTTTTTCCAAAAATATTATTTTGCACATAACACATTATGCACAGGCGCCACAGAAATATAAATATCTCTGTTTTGATTAGGGATATTGAAATATTTCTTTTGTATTCTGTATTCTGCCAGGACAAGGAAAAGTATTTGGCTAAAAATACAACAAATATTTTCTTATTATATTTAATCAATATATGTTTCAGTTTATACGAAAAAAAAAAAACTCTCTAAATCTCACATATTTTATTTTATAATTAAAACATGTTTCGACTCTAAAAAGCCATTTCAAAAACTTTTTTTACTTTTAAAAACAAAAAAAAACATTAGTTATAAAAATTTTATTTATAAAATTTTTAATTACAAATGTATATAGACTACTGGGGAATAATTTATCCGAATAGTTTGAGGTCCGTTCGGGTTTAAAACAGGGTGATTCTCTTTCACCTGTCCTGTTCAATTTGGCATTAGAACATGGCATTAGGGAGGTGATGCGTACCGAAAAAAGGTTGGATCTGGGTTGATAATACCCGTGCTTGGTTATGCGGATGATCTGGTACTGTTAAGCCAAGACACAGAAACTATAAAACTAAGTATAACAACGTTAATGAAAGCCGGTAAAGAACTAGGACTCGAAACAAACACGGATAAGACAAAATATATAATTAGCTGCAAAAATGGCGACATTGCTTGTGATATAGAAGGTAACATGTTTGAATAGGTTGAGAAGTTTATGTATCTAGGTTCTACGATAACTAGAAAAAACGAAATTGAAGAAGAGATTAAGGTTAGGCTGAAGGCGGGAAATGCTTGTTATTTTTCTGTGAGAAAACTACTTAGTTCGCGCCTCTTGTCCCGGAACTTAAAAATTAGAATCTATAAAACCATTATCCTACCTACAGTTCTTTATGGATGCGAAACGTGGCCGCTTACATTAAGAAATGAGCAACGTCTTAAGGTTTTTGAAAATAAAGTATTGCGTAGAATATTCGGACCGAAGAAAGATGACTTAACCGGAGAGTTCAGACGGTTGTACAACGCCGAGTTGCTTGAACTGTATCCAGTTAACATAATTGAGGTGATTATATCGCGGAGATTCAGATGGGCTTGTAAAATTGTAGGACTTAGTTAACGATTAACGAAAGAATGGCTAAAAGGATGATATTTGCTGTACCGTATGGTAAACGTCCGAGAGGTAGACCGAAGCGAAGGTGGGAAGATTGCGTTAAAGCCGATCTGAAGGGAGTAGGTTTGGACAGTTAACGTTGGAGGGAGGTGTGTAATAAGCGATTGGTGGTGTCGGCATCGAACCTCCGGGTTCGCTAAGCCTTTTAATATATATATATATATATATATATATATATATATATAGTACTACTCAAAGGATAGTAATACATTAATTAAATATGGAATTTTTTGAAGGTTTTCTTCTTTTCAAACTCCGCAAATTGCCTTTTTTTCCTTCTCATTTTATCAAACATCACTTGTCCTTATTTTCTTTACTTTTCATAGCCATTTTCATATTATTCTTAATAATGAATGGTGATGAAAAGGGAAAAAAATAGGATGTGATGTTAATAAAGCGAAAAATAACAAAAACTTTAATCATACTGATGTAATTGCCAGTCGGTTTACATTAACTGAATTACTTTTTTTATTGTCATTTATTGTACATTTTAGGGAATCTTCCCAGCAATAATTTATTCTTCTAGTACCTGGGGTAAGCCTATAATTTAATTTAATAAAATTATTTCAATAGTTAATATCTGCATAAAAAATTTAATATCCATTTTTTAAAAAAACAATATTAACTATTGAACGAATTTTATTATAATAAATTATTATGACACCCAATGTCTTACAAATATTGCTGAAGAGGGGGACGAAGATTGAATTACAATTAAAAATTAATTTAATCTGACTATAAGGCAAATAAATCAGTGTGGCAAAGAATAAAGGTCAAACCTGAATACTGAAAAACATTATATTTAAAAGTTTTATGACTTTTGTTGTTTTGAATGACAAAAAAAATTGAAAATGACTTTTCAGAGCCGAAACGTAAAATAATAATTTTTGTTAAAAATATGTGAGATCAATCTATTTGTATAAATGTAATTATATATTGATTAAAAATAATAATATGAAAATCTAACAAAAAATAAATGAATAAGTTAAATAAGGTTGTTTATCATACAAACATTTTATTAAACTATGATAATCATAACTCCGATTGAGAGTATGATATTTTTTTTTTATGAATAAAATAAAATAGATAATTATAGAAAAATATACATATATGTTTAAAAAAAAATTATATATAAATGGCGCGTGTTAGAAAATTACCTGATAAAGCTTGAGTTAGGAGTGGTGTGTTATTGTTTGGAGTCAGCTGTCCGTTTGTTAGGTCCACTACACAACAAACACAACACAGAATTAGATATTAAACAGCAAGGCCAGGCTCAACAAATATATCAACAAATCAACAAAACAACAACAAAAAATTAATATAACATTAGTGAGGTGTTTTTGAAGACAGGCTCCATATCAAAGTGCTACAGCCCTGTAATTCTTTGAAATTTTAATGGAGGTTCACACACATATATTTATGTTAAAACATAATTTTTTACATGCACAGCAATAACAACAGACATTTTTTTTATTGTTTTGTTCTAAAGAGAAATAACACAAAATAAAAATAATATATACCAAAAATAAATATTTTCAAACTAAGCATAAGCTTTTGTAAATAACAAGATCTATGTAATATGCAAATGATCTATGTATAGATAAATTTATTAGATAAATATATAAAAATAAATTTAATTGAAACTGAAATATTTAAAAAAAAACTAATAAAATAATTGCATTCCATAATTTGTTCATTTCACAATTAAAATGACAACCATTCAAATTTATGTAATTTTTTTAAATAGTAAAAATAATTTAATAAACTATTATATTTCTATACAATAAAAAAAAAATAGTCACTGTAATGAATTTTAGTATTATTATTTTTGACATAGCCATTATCATCGTATATCGTCAAATTTTGAGATTTTATTCTATTCTCTGAACTTTTCACATAAATCGGAGAAATTTTATCAAAATATTCCGAGTAAAATACTTTAGTTTAATGTATATAATCTATTTTAATGTACAATACGGAAGTATTTCACTGGGTAGATCCCTTTCCGACACTCAAGAGCGATTTGATGAATGGCGTATCAAGCCAAAGGGGATTTCATTGAGAAGTGAGGAATCATAGTCATATTCTCTAACTAAGGATTTACTGAAGAAAAAAGTTATTTAGGAAAAGTTTATTTGAGAATAACAAAAAAGAATACATTTGTTCGTTGATTCCACACACGATTATTTGAAATATTACTAAATAAATTTAAAAAAAAAAAAAAAATCATCAAAATCGGACCATGATTAGCAAAGATTCCACATTATAAATTAAATTATGCGATTGGAATGAGAAAAAGAAAATTTCCACTATCTCATAATTGAAATGAAACGGAATGAAAGAATGAAAATTAATTTTATTCTGAGAATAAAATCCCTATAAATAATGTATGTATAAAATTGATACATCCGTCAACTAACTCATTTCGATGTTGTATTGTCAATTGTTCTTTGACCAATATACTACTCAAATTATTCACAAAGTCAAACTAGTCATTAAAATTAATTGAATACCAATCTCTAAATAATCAAAATATCTAATTAAAAAAAAATTAAAATGTCCCCACAAAGGATGCCAATAAAATTTAAAAGATACACAATTATAAATGCGTGTAAACTATTTTTACTTACACTTAACAGTATATGTATATACAATAAGGGTAAGTATTGCGATCGTGAACATTTTTGAATCTGAGTTTTCAAGGGAAATACACGTTTTAGGGTTCTCTGAGTCCAAATAACCATGTCCCGAAAAGTGGTCTGTGTGTCTGTATGTTAGAAGTCTAGATCAAAAAAAAAAAAAAAAAAAAAAAAAGTGCTACGAAACTGATATAATAGGACTTTTATTTTAATGATATTTATGGTTTGTTAGCTGTATTTTTTTTCAGGTTTAGCTCGGTTAAAAATGCAATTCAAACATTTTATAATAGCCCAAAATGGCCAGAAAATAATTTCTATTCAAAGTTGAGCGGGAAGTGAAAGTTGTGTGTTGCGCCCACCAGATTTTTTTTCTCAATTTAAGTGGGAGGACCGAAATTCTTCCTAAAACATATCAGATACACACGTGCCTGCTAAACGAACTCACAGAATAACTGTTGCAATTTTTACTGTTTCGACAGTAGTTGATGATTAAAGGAGACCATTAGGACTGGACTGGACGGCTGATTGGTGACATGGGGGGGGGGAGGGAAGGTACTGGGCCTTTGTACCTCCTCCTCCCTTATCACTAATACCAACACGTCCTTTGATTGTCGGCTTCGCTCCCAGGCTGCGCCAACAGTTGTCTGGTACGGTTTGTTGATATTTGCACAAACGGCAAAGGGAATCAGAAACGATGTTATAACAGTTATCTGCATGTTTACAATGAGATTAGGCGAAATAGAACATGCAACAATTAACTCTTTTTGAGGGAAACATTTGAAAGGAAGTTTGTCAAACATTTACAATACGACAGTATAGTTATTATTGCCAAGTTATATGATAGCATGTCATACAAACGACATGCTATAACTGAAACATATATTTCAATAATTAATAATACATTATGATATCATCTGAAAGAAGTTTTTGTTTTGTTGGTGGAACCAAGAAAAAAATGCAACATAATTAAATTACTTTAGAGGTAGTAAAGTAACAAACAGATAGACGCAATATCCAGGATTTAATTTTTTTTTCTGGGGGGGGATAGGTTCAGCCAGAAAGCTTTTGTTTTCGTAGAACTAACTACCGATATGGCATGGTGTTTAAGTGATCCTTAAAGTCTTATTAAATGTAATTGTACACGAACAATAAAACTGTAAGAGATAATTTCTAATATTTTTTCCTATAAATCATGGTTATATTTTACTATTTTGGGGGAGGGGACTTCAGCACGAAAGCTTCCCCCTCCCCCACGTAGATCCGTCTGTGGTTAAAATCCTCAATTATTCTTGAATTAAACTCAGCAAAATTTGAAACGTAAAAATCTCTGAAAGGTGCACACCGAAAATTAGACCAGATTACAAAAAAAATCTATTTATTTATTCTCCTTCAGTTATTTATATATGAAATTTATAATAAAAAAAGCATTGCGATTGTGAAAAATTTCGGATGTTTTTAACAGAAATACATGTTTTAACACAGCTTGAATCCAAATAACCAAGTCTCGCAAGATTTTCTTTTTATGTGCATGAGAATAGGCTTGTTCGAAAAATAAAAGTCGTACATAACTGAAATTACGTATTTTAAATTCAATGGAAACGTTTAAAATTTATGTTCTGCTTATTTTATTTTTTTAGATAATAGGGGGTGGGGTAGGGTGACCTCTGTCCGCCTAACGACAAACCAACCCCCATTTTTCGAATTTTACAACTGTTAATTTAATTGTACTACTCGTATTTATATTATATATACTCGTATATCGCTTCAATTATATAACTGTAATTTATATGTTTTCTGTAGTTCAGATTGTATTATTTTTTATTAACATGAAATAAACGAAACGAAACCATAGTTTGGACAAATTTTTAATCTATTTAAAAATCTCTATTATTAATCTAGCCTTATTGCCAATTTACATTACTATATAATTATCATTATTCTTATTGCCAATTATAATCAATTCTTATCAACCATAATAACGGAAAAATAATACTGGGAATAAGAAGTGTGGTTAATCTTTGTTACGGTCCGTCCCGCTTTTAATAAACAAAATAAAATATTACACCAATAAATGCTTTTTTATATAAAAGAGAGATAACAGAACAGAACTTATGACTGAATATTTATTTGTAATACTACGCAAGAGTTTTTTTTATTTATTTTTTTTGTTCTGTATTGAGCCATAGTCGGTTTAAAAAACAAATAAAAAAAATGGAGAAACATACAAGAATCGAATACAATCTTCAATTCAGTACACGACCACGGATATTGCAGTATTCATCTGCAAAGTTGAAGAAGTTTGCAGCTTCAATGCACAAGAAGGGGGGAAAACCGAAACGAACAAAACGAAATTGATGTTATTGGAACAATATACTGCAGTTATCTAGAAGTCATTGGCGTAGGAGGGGGGGGGGGTAAGTCCTGCTCCAACTTTATATGAAGTTGAAAAGAGAGGAAAGGGGGGGAGGAGGGTAGAGGGGGGGATTTTTGTGCCGTGCGATTTAACCTCACTGAGGTATAAGGCCCCCCCCTTCTCTCTTGATGACTTTAACCTCGACTTACAGTTTAACTTCTACCCAGCGGTCGCAAAATGTGACCCCGCTATACAGTTCCATGAATAAATTCACTCTATCCAGTTTTCCCTCCTCCCTTCGTACATAGGCCTTGTGTTGAAAGCGAAATGATAACCTCTCAAGGGGGAAGAGAAATTTAATTTAAAACCGAGACGGGGAAATCTGTTAATTTAAATTAGCAGTTAACATTTTTAATAATAGTTACTTTTATTAGATAAATATTCAGATATAACTAGTAGGCTCATGCGATACATTCGAATATTACACAGGCTGGGAATCTGCGATCTCTAGGCCGCAAGTGACCTATGTTACTTAACTACGGCCGGCCTCTTAACGTTTTTTCGCAATCTTCATTAATCTAGAGCTAGAATTGAATAATTTCGGTTTATTATTTTCAATAATGAACCGTTGTATTCGACCAAAAAATTCAAAAACTTAATCTTTCTCAAAATTTGAGGCTTTAAGTTTCAGGATACGTAGAATTCGAAAATTGAATACATTTTTTTTTTCAGTACGCCGTCCTATTGTACATAGGTGTGAATGTGTTTTATTTGTTTTGTTATTTTTCGGCTGATCTTTTGTTTTAATTATCTTGTATATTACTTTATCTTTATATATATATATATATATTTTTTTTTTTTTTTTTTTTCCTTTCTTATGTACATATTGTGTGAATGAATACTATAGCCCTAGTACCAATGCCCTTCAGTGTGGCAGACTGTATTAATACTCAATAACAGTTTAAAAAAAAAAAAAAAAAAAGTACGCCGTCCGCGTATTTTATCAGAAACTACTGAACTGATTTTTTTTTTTTCAAATTTGGATTTAAAGTCATAGGTACCCAAGGATGATCCTCCTACATCGATATTACTATCCGCCTTTTCCTTTAAAGATGGCGGCCTAAAAAACTGTGTTGCTATAGACTGTAGTGCCTAAAATAATGTACCGATTTATATAAAATTTGGCAAAAGTCTTCTTCTCGATACCCTTTAAATTTATCTATATAACATA